CTCCACAAATCAAGTAATTACACAACCTATCATGGAAATTCCTGTAGAAAAAAACCTCGGTAACGAAAAAACAGTCACGCTTCCTATTGAAAACATTTCTTATTTTTTAAAAAAACCACAAGCAAAAGTAATCTATGCTCAACAATGTAAAGAAAATTGCTTGATTCATACGTTGAAAATATTTAGTGAAAAATTATTCAGTTTTAAAAAAAACAGAAATCCTTATTGCATTAAAATTCACAGTGACGGTCATGATATCAGAAACATTTTCATTGAGAAGATGGATAGTGAAAAACCTCTCATACCTCTCTCGGCAGTTGGACCAATCGAACGTTTTTTCTCTTCCCTATGCTACAATCCAGCCCTTTTCATATACCACCTACTTTCTGAAACGATAATGGGTTTTTATTCTACTTTAGATGTTGAAAAATTTGATTGCAACTATGATACTTATGATGAAAGGGAATTGCGTTTAGCAGAGTTTTATTTGTCTGGAGAACCCTACTTTTTACTTTTTTCACTAACAGACGACAAGTTTTTATCAGAAGAATACAGACAGTTAGCTTTAGAGATTTTTCAAACCTTAAAAGAAAAACTACCTATTCTTCAGGAAATCACCTTTTTGTACCAAAAAAATATATTTCACTTGCGTCATTATGAATATTTTATGAAAAACAGACGATTTATAGGTTTGGGACGATTATTTCAGCACTCCCAAAGGATCTTTGATATTAATGATTGGGAATTGCTTGATAATTGGAGTAGCAAGCTTGACAAGCTCATTTATTATGTAATACGTAGTAATTTTGACGCTCCCTACAAACAAGACAGTTTCAAAATTCAAAGCTTAATTGAAATACCAAAAGTAAATAAGTAATTTATTTGGAACTAAACAAGATTTAATACAATAGTGAACAAGATAATTTTATTTTCAAAATTATTAAATCATGTATTTTCATACTCATGATAGGTGATCTAAAACTAATTGTTGGTGATCTAAAACTGACAGATCAACTTTATGTTGATTAGAAGGTATTGTAGCTGGAAAGATTTTTCTCTGGATTTTCTAGGAAAGATTTTTGTTCCAAATTCTTTCATTTCCAGACTTCTTTTTCAAGGTAGTTCAACTCCAGCTATTTTGATATGAGCTGATGAAAAACCTTCTATCTCAATTAACTTGACAGATATTGAAATAATAAATTGTACAGAGAGAATATATTACTGGGAATCTATCTTCTTCTAATGAACGTTTTTCATCCTTATTCATTGAATAAAATAGTAAAGTATCACAAATATTAAAAGTAATATATCCAATAGTGAAAATTACAGTAAAAGATAATTATCTGGTAGAGAATGGATGAATGACATGCTATTCGTGATGTTTCAGTGAGAATTCAATATCCACATCATGAGAAAAACAATAAAAACATGAAAATATCAGATATCCATGATTTTCACAAATTATGCTACAAGACTTGAAATTATACATTTAATAACATAATAAACATTATGAATTGTTGTTTTATTGTTGTTTGATTTGTAATTGGGCTATGAATCAACTCTGGTAGCATGAAATATCGGAACTTGGTAAATTGACAACATGATGAAAATCTGATAATAAATATGATGTTTATTATCTATTTAAATAGTAGTACTAAAAGACATGATTCAAGTTGGTGAAGTACATGTTGAGTTATGGTCCATGTACTTTTTCAAATTCACATGTACCTATCCCTATCATAACTTGACCAAAATTGATAAGAGAAAGTTCTCCTACCTACTATTGACCATTCCGAACAATACTACATTGACAGTTTTCCAACTTGTCCAGTAGATCCAGCAGTGATGATGAATTTAGTGAAAATTTTGACATTTCACCAAAATTACATTACTAAAAATTAATTTCCACAAATACTATTATTATATTGATGGAAAACAATAATAATGATGGTTGGTGAATGATCCGATGATGGAACACCAACTTATGATTTTCCATCATGAAAAATAAATTCCAATTTCATGATGATAATCCACCAATAAAAATTACTATTATTACTACTATATAGATGATGTTGAGATGATGATGTGAAAGTTTGGTGGTTTCATGATGTAAAACCACTCCGAAAATCATCATGTCCTCCTTGAGTAGAAGAATGTTGAATATTTTTTTTATGAAGATTGGTTGTTACTTAGTTTTTGTGAGCGAGGTATGTTCTAGAATGTGTGTGTGGGAGTTGTTGAAAATATAACCAATATTTTATTTTTAGCCACAACAAATTTTTTTCTGTGAGATCCAGGAAAAATTTTTGCTTAAAAATCTTTCCTGCTTCAAACCAACGAAAAATCTTTCCGGCCACAGATGATTCTTTGGGAAGTGAGGCTCTTAAAGAACGTTATCTTGATGAGCGTTTTGAATGGAAGTGTGAAAGGTGTTTATTGAATTCTTTGGATTTTTCTAACGTTTATTATTCAATGGATGAGTTTCTTAGATTAATAGACAATTTGAAAGATAATCGATTCTTTTCGGAAATCATCTTGAAGGCTGTCTCTTATGTTCCTTATGTTGTTTCTAAATGCTCTCCAAACATGATGAAACCATATTATGTAAGAGAGTTGATTAGTAGAAATGTTTCATGTTACAACTTTTTGGAATTGCCTTATTATTCCAATGACAGGGAATGACTTTTGAAAATAATAGCCAATACTAATTATTGTCAGATATTGGGTCAAGCTAGTGAAGAGTTGCAAAACGACAAGGCTTTCATTATGGAAGCCATTGAATGGAATTACAAGTGTTACTATTATTTGAAGGAAAGAATGAGAAAGGATAGAGATATTGCCTTGTTAGTAGTCTCAAAGGAAGGATACATGTTGGAAGATTCTGATATCAAGCACTGCTTTAGTGCAGATAAGGAGGTTGTTAAAGCTGCTGTCATGAGTTCACATTCGGCAATCATGTTTGCCAGTTCAAAATTGAAGGAAGATCGTGAATTTTTCAAGAATGATATTCTGCCTTTTGATCCTTCACTATTTAGATATGCTCACTTACAATTGAGAAGTGATATTACTTATATTTCAGAATTAATTGTCAACTTTCCGCAATGTATTCAGTATGCTATTAGTAATATTCAAGGAGATATTGAATATGTTTTGGAACTCATCAAAATTAATCCACTAGTTGTATTGTATGCAAATTGGAAGGAATTATCGACAGAATATGCTATCAAGAAGATTACACAACACGACCTTCCTGATTCAGTAATTAGCTCAATCTATGAAGAACTAGATGACGATTATGCTCTTGATAGTTTTGTAATGAGGAGCATACAAAGAGATCCAAAAACATTGCAAT